AAATGCTTGACGTTCATGATCGCTCTTCCTTAGTGTGGTTCTACAGGCCACACTTTACAGACGAGGCTATGGAGAGCCAGGCAGGTTTAGTAAATCGCCCAGGGTCCCATAGCTAGAAGGGGCAGGTCTGGGATTAGAACCAGCCAGGCTGATTTTGAAGCTTTTAATCTTGGTGTCAGCCACACTCTTTGTGAAAGGGAGCTTGTCACCCTGCTTCTCAGCCCCTCTGGAGTTCTGGGGACCCCCTCCATTTTGTGCCCGGGCTAATTCCTCAGGTGTCCCATATGTCTCTTGGGGTATGCCACCACCTCTGTCCTGCCTACTGGGCTTCAGGGCCTGCCACTTTGGTCATTCCTATGGTCTGGTGACCTGGGCATTGTCCTGCTGCTCAAGTACCCAGGGACCTCCCCCGCCCCCACTTCCCTGCCACCAGGAAGCTGGGTCAACTTGGCCTCTGTCTCCTGTCAGCTCCGGAGATGGTGAAGGGAGAACCCATCGGCTCTGCCACGGACATCTGGGGAGCGGGGGTGCTCACTTACATTATGTGAGTGTCCCCTACCCGCCACAGCCTTCTCTGCCCACACAGTGAGCTCCCGGACTCACCTTCTGCCAACATCCTCTCCCCCATGCCCCACCTCCCCTGTACACACATCACACCGCACACTCACACTCAGGTACAGAGTAGCATGGCCCTGAGCACTGTGCACCCGACACTAATGTCCTTCCGGGCCTGGGTGTTGGCCTCCAGTCCGCCTTTGTCAGTCAAGCTATCTTCCCCAACAGGCTCAGTGGACGCTCCCCGTTCTATGAGCCAGACCCCCAGGAAACGGAGGCTCGGATTGTGGGGGGCCGCTTTGATGCCTTCCAGCTATACCCCAACACATCCCAGAGCGCCACCCTCTTCTTGCGAAAGGTCCTCTCAGTACATCCCTGGTGAGTGAGCCCCACACCTGCCATCTCCCAGGGTCACCTGCCCCCGGCCCGGCCTGTGCCAGAGATTCCCCAGCTCCTCCCCTGCTCTTAGGAAGAAGTCTGCTGCTTCTACTAAATGGTCATACTACCTACCATTTAAAGCCTGAGACAACCCCATGCAAGGCAGAATCACTGCCCCCATTCCAGAGATTGGGGAACTGAGCTCCTGAGCTGCCCAAGATCACACATGTAGGGGTGGATCCAGGATTGGGACATGGGTCTGCAGGAGGACAGAGCCCTGGCAACTCCCAGAGCCATCCTTCCAGGCTCATTATCCCTGGCTCTGCCTGGCAGGAGCCGGCCCTCCCTGCAGGACTGCCTGGCCCACCCATGGTTGCAGGACGCCTACCTGATGAAACTGCGCCGCCAGACGCTCACCTTCACCACCAACCGGCTCAAGGAGTTCCTGGGTGAGCAGAGGCGGCGCCGGGCTGAGGCCGCCACCCGCCACAAGGTGCTGCTGCGCTCCTACCCTGGCGGCCCCTAGAGGCACGGACCACAGCCAGGCCTCGGGCTTCAACTGGGGTTCCCACCAATGCCACGGGACATTCCAGGGCCCACGCTGAGCCAGGCGGGCCTGGGGCTTCGGTTACCACCAGCAGCAGCATCTGGCCGGGCTCTTACCTCATAGACCTGCAAGGACAGAGACCCCAGGGCCTCGACCTGATGCCACCCCAGGCCAAAGCCAGAGTGGGAGACCCGTTGGCCAGGCTGGGCAGGGTGGGAACAGGCAGAGGGACAAGAGGGGAATGGGGAAGTGGAGAGGAAAAGAAGCTGAGGGACACGAAGGAGGAGGCTCTAGGAAGGTTCTGGGTTGGGGGTCAGTGCATCTCAGGGAGAACCAAGGAAGATGGGCATGGCTGGAGAGGAGGAAGAGGAAGGAACCCAGGGTGTCAGGGCAGTAGGCTGGGAGTCAGTATGGCAAAGCAGGGGCAGGACACAGATACAGTGGCAAGGGCCCAGGGCTGGGACGTGAGAGAAGGCAGCGAGGCAGTGGAGGGAGAAGAGAGGACTCAGGTGGAGGTGGGGTGGGCCAGCTGTCAGCATCCCTTAGAGGAGAAACATGGAGAGCCGGAGGCCAGCAGTCACTCAGCTCACTCTGTCCTCCTGTCCAGTGGATACAGCCCCGGGCGCTCTCTGCTGGCCCAAGGATGTCCCCACCACCCCTCCATGGCCTTTGGCCTTCTTCCCATTCATATTTATTTATTTATTGACTTTTATGAAGTTTCCCCTTCCATCCGATCCCTACTGCCCATGTTGTCCTGACCATCCCTCCCAGCCATCCAGCTGTCTGTCTGTCTGTCACAAGGAAATAAAAATGGCAAGCAGCATAACCTGTGTGTCTGTTGGGAGGGATGGCTGGAGGGGAAGATTGCTGGGAAGGGGTGAGTCTGGGACAGGGGCATTTAGCCCTCTCTGGGCATTCCCCAACACACATTCCAGGATATACCAGCTAGTACTTTGGGTCCTTCCAACCCCCTCCTCTGACCCTCCTGGCCCCTCACCTCTCCTTATTCCTGGAGGGAGGGGAGACTGTGGTCTGCTTCTCCCCTTGCAGTTTCTGGAATGCTGGCAGATCCGCTGAACCCCTGCCACCAGGCTCTGGTAGCCCCCACCTCTTGTCACATGTTCCCTCATCACAATGTGGGGGATGCTGGGCTCTGAAATAGGCCAGCCCTCACCCCAATCCTGGCTCAGCCTCATTCACTCTGCCCAGAAGACAGGCAGGAGTTCTGGTCCTGACCCCTGGAGCAGAGTGGGTTTCATCCTGATGGTTGGCAAGAGTAGGTAGTGTGAGGAGCTGCAGAAGAAACCAGGACAAGGAGGTTAAGGTGGCTGGATCACCTGAGGTCAGGAGTTCAAGACCAGCCTGGCCAACATGGTGAAACCCCATCTCCACTAAAAACACAAAAATTAGTCAGGTGTGGTGGCGCATGCCTGTAGTCCCAACTACTCAGGAGGCTGAGGCAGGAGAATTGCTTGAACCTGGGAGGTGGAGGTTGCAATGAGCCAAGACTGCATGACTGCACTCCAGCCTGGGTGATAGAGCAAGACTCCATCTCAAAAAGAAACACTAGGACAGGCCCACTTCCCTCACCCTCCATGTCACAGCACAAATCAGAGCACATGGAGAGCACCAGCTGGGAGTGCTCTAGTCTGCTGTGTCCAGCATTTTCCTAGGACTAAGGGACACACTAGCCTGGACCTTCTTGTCCGCATGGCAAGTTAGGTCTTTTGGGTGCTAAAGCACCTCGATTCTAGCCACAACCCTGCAATGCCATAGAATGGTCACTGGGACCTAGGACTGAGCTGCCCTGCCCTGAGGTTGGGGATGAGGGGTTGGGGGGTTGGCGGGGACCCAGATCTCCTTGCCTGCAGAGGAAATGCTCCCCTCATCCCCACCTTCAAAATTCTGTTCTTGGCAAAGTAAAAGGAACAAAGCCTCTGACCAGGGTAGAGAGAGTTGACACCACTGTGTTGCTGACGGAGGTTGAGGGCCCCTTGACTCCAGCTCAGACAACCCTTTTGCCCAGCCCAGCCCAGCCTCTCTAGCTTCTCAGGACCCCAGGGAAGAGGCAAGCCTCATCATCATAAAATAACAGGATGTTAAAGCCAGCTGGAAGGGACCAGAACAACGCCTTGCCTACCTGTCATTTTAGCGATGAAGATATACAGTTTGCCTGTGAGAATCTCCAATCCCCTACACACTGCAAGTGTTTTGTATAAAAATGAGGTGCCTGAACTCGTATCTTGATAAATGGTAAAATTTCTCTCCTGTCCCCCCTCTGATCTTGAGCTCCCTTCCCATCTCCATTGGAAATGGCATGTGAACTGCTTGTTCCAAACCCAGAGGAGCAAAGGTAATTTATGTCAGCAGAGCTATGTCAAAATTGCTCTGATCAAAAGGTGACAGTGCACCCACACTAGGGCGGGTAGTTCCAATGAATGGAAACAATGCTTCTGCCAGGTGCCCAGCCTGGGCAGACTGGCCTCCAGGCAAGCCCCAGAGGGGTTAACTGAACCCCTCCATCCCAGGTGGTCTGATGCCCCGATGCACCAATTTATGCCCCCAAAAAGGACTTGGGCAGACCTAGGGTTGGGGCCACTAGTGGTGCTAATCTCCAAGGACAGTGCAGTCTAAACAGCCCCACCATGTGACATCGAGGGGAGTGAGTGGGGATAGGGATGGCATGGAGGGGCTGCTATTCTCAAAAATCTTTCCCGTCCCCTCCCGGTTTATCTCAGTTTACCACCAGGGGGCACAGTGTGGAAGTGACAACCCTGGACTCCTGGGGTTGGGGATAGGGTAAGAGCAAGGAGCTTCTGGATTGGTCTTGACAGCCACGTGGCCCTGTTGCCATTAGCTGTAGGGGCCCTGAGGCTACTCTGGCTTTATTCAGGGACACCCCCGAAACACTCAAACCCCTTACCAACAGGGTGTGTTGTCTGACTATCCAGAGCCCAACCTGAGTGAAAAACTGCCCCAGTAGGAAGCTGGATCTCTTGTCAGCTAGGGGCTGAATCTGGTCCTCCTGGGAGTGGGATGGATACCCTCTGCCCTGGGAGGGGACAGGGCAGCATCCAGCTGTCCAGTTGTCCAGGTGCTGACACGAGGTGCACCCCAGAGCCGCTCGGGTTTCCCCCCACGGGCCTAGCCCAGCGGCTGAGCTAGCATCCCAGGCATCCGCAGGCTAAATAAAGAGCCTGCTTGGGTCAGAGGTAGGGGGATGGGGTCCCGGGGGGCTTGGGGCAACCATGCCAAACAAGGCAAGGAGGGGAGCGATGTATAAAACCGAGCCCAGGGCTCAGCACCTGCCTGCACCCCTACTGTGCCATCCAGAAGGGCACTGTGCTGCCTGCAATCCAGCCAGGTGACTCAAGTCGCTAGGTCAACCCCTCCACGGTAAGTCCTATCCTCAGAGAAGCCGCAGACACTCCCATTCCTTCACCCCCTTGAATGTTCTGACCATGCAGGAAAAGGGCTGAAGGTGGGACCCTCTGTCTCAACCTGGACCCCCGTATTTGTCGCCCACTCTCCAGATGTCTAAAGCAGCTCCTGCCAAAAAGTCAGTGGCTGCGGCCCCACCTCCTGGATGTACCCTGGACATCAATGACCCGCAGGTCCAGCGTGCGGCCATTCGCATCCAGGCCTCTTACCGAGGCCACAGGTAAGAGGGAACCCCGGAGCTCTGTGGAGGAAGGGAGCTGCAGAGAGCGCATTCTTGAATGGGCTTTGGGGAAGGGCTGAGCGGCTTCAGCAGCCTCTAGAATGACTGGTTTTAGGGGAGGGTCTTTACTGAGATGTGGAGGAGTGGCCGGCAGGAATGCATCATCCTATCAGGGCAGCAGTTCAGGAGCAGTCCTCTTCCCTACCAAGCCACACGTTTAGGGGTCTGGCGGGCCCAGGGGGCAGGCAGGAGATGGTGCACTCTCGGAAAGGGCTGCGGCCGGGCCTCTCTTGGGAGCTCTGGACCCTGACTCGGCCCGGGGGTAGGTCCCGGAAGGAGCTGCGCGAGAAGGGGCCGCCGCGGGTACTGGAGCCGCTGAAGGACGTGGTGCTGATTGAGGGCAGCGCGGCCAAGCTCACTTGCCGCATTTCGGCTTTCCCGGACCCATTCATCCGCTGGAGTAAGGACGGCAAGGAGCTACGTGACGGGCCCAAGTACCGCTACGTCTTCGAGGACCCTGACGTGGTGGCACTGGTGGTGCGCGACGGCGAGCTAGCAGACCTAGGCCAGTACAGCATCAACGTCACCAACCCCTTCGGCCAGTGCTCCGACTCGGCGCGCATCCTCGTGGAAGGTACGCGCGCCCCGGGCGCAGCGCCAGGGCGCAGACCAGCACCACTCAGCCAGAGTCCGCAGCCCGGTCCAGCTGCGCGTTTACCTCTGGGCCTAGCTATAGGGTCCCTGCCAGCCCAGCGCCGGGCACGGCCTGGGCGCATCGCCGCCGCCAGCCAAGTGCGTCCTTTCCTACCTCGGGATCCAGCCCCACCCGGGCTAAGCAGTCCTCTGTGGGCTTCCATCACGTGGCTCCAGGTCCCCAAGGTCACACAGCAAGCCAGAGGCAGAGCCAGGGTTGGACACTGGTCTTCCGACTCCCAACTCTGGGCAATTTTCACTACCCGGAGCGGTCTCTGAGGCGGTTCACACATCTCTGAGATGTGTGAACATTCAGGGACTTTCGCCCGCCTTATCTCTTGATCCTCTATTCGACCCCGAGAAGTAGGAGAGGTAGGGATAAGTCCCTTTAACAGCCAAGGAGATGAAACCAGAGAGGCTAATGATTTGCTCAACGTCACGCTGCGAGTTTAAATGCATCTGTATTTAGTGCCGGGTATTAGCTGGGGAAGTGATGCCCTGCCTCATCTCCAGGTCCTTTACGGGGTTTCGCTCCCCTTTCCTTCCGCTAGTCCCGGCGAAGATTCAAAAGGGACCCGACAACACTAAGGCGCGCAAAGGCGCCACCGTGACGCTGACTGCGGAGATCCTGGGAGAGCCTGCGCCCGACGTGGGCTGGACCAAGGACGGGGAGGACATCGAGGAGGATGACAGGCGAGGGCTGGGACCTGCGGCACGGGCAGGGCCTGGGGCTGGAACTTGGGTGGGACTGAGCCCAGATATCTGACGGGAGTGACGGGGGCGGGGACTGGGCGGCGAGGAACAGAGTTGGCTAAGAAGCCCGGCCTAGTGCGCCCTTGTACTGACCGCGGCTCCGCCCTCCTCCCCGCCACCCCTCCGCAGGGTGTTCTTCGAGATCGGCAGCACCACCACGACGCTGACCATTCGCCGGGCCATACCCCAGGACAGCGGCAAATACGAGGTGTACGTGGAGAACAGCCTGGGCATGGACCAGAGCTTCGCTCGCGTGGACGTAGCCTGAACGACACCCCCGGACCTTCCGCCCTGGCGCCGAGCCTGGGGGTGGTGGGACCCACAGCCTTCCTCTAGCTTGCTTAATAAAGCGGCTCTCTGACCCTCCGCGTCTGTTCTGCTCTTCCATGTCGCCATTCCCTCTCCCCTGCACCCGCGCCCACACGTATTCCACACCCCCACGCCAAGGTCACAGCCTGCTGGAGTCACAGGAAAGTCTGGAGAGCGCCCAGCGCCGTGCTGCATTTCAGACAGTCAACCTGATACAGTTGCCCTCACCGTCCAAGGCGCCCTCACTTCCCAGCGGGACCGGGGGCTGGGCCCGGGACCCCGCCTTCTCCTCTTTTGTGCGCCTCCAGCCCCAGCCCCTCGTGGCTGTTTGCCCCCGGCCCCGCCCCTTCCAGGGCTGGCCACACCCCCCTGCTGTCCTTAGTCCCATTTTCCTCTGGGACCCAGTTTCTCACTTCGGCTGCTGCCCCGGTGCCCATTCCCCGACAGCTCTGGTCCCAGTCTTTAAGTTCCAGGCTGTGCTTCTCAGGCCCCACCCTTCTTCTCATTTAACCCCGCCCCTCGATACCTTGGCCACGCCCCCGGACTTCAGCACCGCTCTCCTCTCCCATTAAGTTTGAAAGCGGTGAAAAGTTCAGACTACAATTCCCGGCAGAACCTGCGAATGAGTTCTCGCGACTTGCGAGAAGACACGTGCGCGGAAGAAGCTTGCAGTAGCGGGCGGCAGAGCTGGGGTAAAGGGAGCTAGTGGTAAAGGGAGCTGGTGGAGGGGTGGCGGAAGGGGTAAGGGGCAGGGGACAGCCTCTAGACAGAGGGCGGGCTCCGAGGTCCTGGCTGACCGTGGGTGCGCCCGCGCCTGTGTTGGTCCCACAATCCCTGGCCATGAGAGGCCAGGGCTTATTGGACAGAGTCAGTTGTGGGGTTCAGAGGGTCAGCAATCAAGCAGTCCTCCGAATCCAGAGATTTAGACCCAGCCAGTCATCCGTATTAGGACTGGAGGGGGGTCAATAGGTTCAGTGTTTGAAATGCCAAGGAAACCTGTCTTTTGATTTGGGGTTCAATATATAGAGGTTAGTTTTAGGATTCATGTTCAACATATAGAGGATTTTTCCTGGGATTAGGGGTTCGCCAAATTCAGATCAGTGTTAGTTCAGTACTTGGGGGTTACGTTCAGGATTTAAATTAAATATCTGAGGCCCACTTGGGATTTGCTGTTCAATATTCAGGGTTCACTACTGGGATTCAGGGCTTAATGAAGCCCTAGAATGAAGACACAACACTTTGGGAATCAGTGAGTTTGAGGCTTCAGTATTTTGAGGTTTGGGTCTGAGAAAGGGGTCTCTGCCAGGTTTCTGAATTTGCAGAATTTGTTTATGGCCAGAGGGAAGTCTTTTAGAGATCAAATTGTGGGGCGTGAATTTCAGATTTTGGGAGGAATCACTGTGAGGTTTGAAGGCCGACTGGAATCTGGGTTGGGATTTGAGATGTGTGGGATTTGTGAGGTTCTGTCCAGGCAGGGACTATATTGAGCTTTGGGTTTACATCTTGGGGGAGGGCTAAGTGCTGCTATTTGGGGTTTGGGGTTTGGTTGGGGTGTGAGATCTGAGCCTGATTTCTCCGCTGGGATTTGAGATGTGTGGGATTTGTGAGGTGTTGGGTCCAGGCAGAGACTATATTGAGCTTTGGGTTTACATCTTGGGAGAGGGTTAAGTGTTGCTATTTGGGTTTTGGGGCTTGGTTGGGGTATGAGATCTGAGCTTGATTTCTCTGTTGGGATTTGAAGTTTAGGTAGCAGTCACCATCATGCTCAAAGCGGTGATCCTGATTGGAGGCCCTCAAAAGGGTGAGGTGCCAGGGGAATGGGGGGAGGAGGTTGGGCTGGTGTGGTAGGCGGAATGGGGGCAGAGGAAGGCAGGAAGCCGAAACGTTCTCTCTCCTCTCCCAGGAACTCGCTTCAGACCTTTGTCTTTTGAGGTGCCCAAACCACTGTTTCCTGTGGCAGGGGTCCCTATGATCCAACATCATATTGAAGCCTGTGCCCAGGTAACCTCAGGGGCTCCCCTCTCTCCCCTCACTTCCTGCTCATCTTCATGCTATGTTTCCCCCTTTCCCAACCATAATCTCTTCCCACGAGGCATAACTCCAAGGACCATCATTCACAGATGACAATGTGAATGGCGCCCCCTCAAGTTATGCTGTGCAGCTGCCCTGCTGTCTTCCCCTAATCTAGTTTCTCATCTGGCCTCTTCCTGCTCAGATTTCACTCCTATTTTTAAAGTATGGAATGTGAGATCAGGCAAGGATCTTGGAGACAATGTAAAGCCGTAGCATGGAGACTCTTAATGATAACCAGGCACAAATTCATATCCTTGATCACCGTGATGCTCATTTCTTTATTGCTTTTCGTATTGAGACAGGCAAGGTTTTGGTTTGAATTCAGTCTCTGCCTGCTGTGAGGCCTGCAACAAATAACACACCTTCTCTGACACTCAGTTTCCTTATGTGTAAAATGGGGGAGATTAGACCTACTTTGTTGGGTGGTGAAGCTTAGAAATGACATTTGTAAAATGCCTAGTACAACACAGACCCTCGATACATGGTACCCTTACCTCATGCTGATCTCAAGCTTAGGCTGACAGATAATAAAAATGAGGGCGGGGGGCGGGGAATGGATTAATGCAGCTTGGTAGGCAAAGTCTTTCTTAGAGTGAGTCCCAGTTCTGGTTGGTGGGGGTAATAATAATTGATTGAAAGATCAGGCCTGGCATGGTAGCTCATGTCTGTAATCCCAACACTTTTTGAGGCCAAGTTGGGAGGATCGCTTGAGGCCGGGAGTTCTAGCCTAGCCTTGGCAACATCAAGAGACCCCCTTCTCTACAAAAAGTTTAAAAATTAGCTAGATGTGGTGGCCTGGCTGTAGTCCTAGCTGCTCTAGAGGCTGAGGCAGGTGGTGACATGGCTGTAGTCCTCGAAACTCGAGAGGCTGAGGTAGGAGGATCGCTTGAGCCCAGGAGGTGGAGGCTGTAGTGAGCCAAAATCATACCACTGCACTCCAGCCTGGGCAACAGAGCGAGACCTTTTTTCATAAAAACAAAACAAAAAAAGATCAGGCCTCCGACTTCCTCCAACTTCCTCATTGTCCAGAGGAGAAAATAGCCCAGAGTGGTGAGTGCCCTGGGACCCCACAGCTGAGACTAAAACTGGTTTCTGGACTTTGAGCCAGCCCTAAGGATTTCCCCAACATCACCTCCTGCTAGACATTCTTCCTCCCAGCCTTTCCCTTTTCCTCAGGTCCCTGGGATGCAGGAGATTCTGCTCATTGGCTTCTACCAACCTGATGAGCCCCTCACCCAGTTCCTAGAAGCTGCCCAGCAGGAGTTTAACCTTCCAGTCAGGTGTTTGTGCACACACTTGTATATGGGGGTGGGGAGGATGCCCTAGGCCTCTGAATTCTTGGAAGTGGGTTGAGTCAGCATTTGCCAGTTCATCCTCACCTAGTAGAGGGATTCTTATTTGGACATCACTGAATCCCTGAATATATAGAGTTTCTCTGTGGGCCTTGGGCAGGAGTACTCCTGGGAGCAGGCGGTGGGGGTCAGGTGCCCTGGCTCATGGTATCTGTTTCCTAAGATCCACTGAGCTGGCTCTTGGGTCCCTGGGGACAGGTACCTGCAGGAATTTGCCCCCCTAGGCACAGGGGGTGGTCTCTACCATTTTCGAGACCAGATCCTGGCTGGGAGCCCCGAGGCATTCTTCGTGCTTAATGCTGATGTCTGCTCCGACTTCCCCTTGAGTGCTATGTTGGAAACCCACCGACGCCAACGTCACCCTTTCTTACTCCTTGGCACTACGGTGAGGGGGTCAGGAGGACTGGAGGGTGTCGAGGAGGTGATCCCAAGAGCTTCCTGGAATTCAGGGTGTTGGGGAGGCAGGGGCACCCTGGGAGTTGGTGTGAGAGCTGGTGTCAGGAGGGAGATGCGCTGCTCTGGCAGGCATGGAGGTGTTAGTGGAGACCCCGAGCCCTCTGGCTGTTTAGAAGTAGGGAGGGGGAGGGCAGCTGTCAGTTTCCACCCTTGCTGAAGGCCTGTCAGTGGCAGAGCTGCATGTCAGGTGCTGTAGGGGAGGGAAAGAAAGGAAAAACAGACGTGGTTGCCCTGGAGCAGGCAGGTCACTATCTCGGGTGTGTCTGTCTTTCAGGCTAACAGGACGCAGTCCCTCAACTACGGCTGCATCGTTGAGAATCCACAGACACATGAGGTGAGAGCGGAGAGGGGGCTGGGTGGGTGCCTACTCTGTGTCATCATCCCCTCTACCTCAGGCCTCTAGAGAATGCTGGCACAGTATGGGGTGGGCCCTAGTCTTGTCAGACAGGTGAGATGCTCCCGATTAATCATCTTATATCCCTTTAAGAGAGATTGACCAGGGTTGGGGGGAATGGTTAATTTTCCTGCAGGTGGTGCTGTAATAAATGTATGCACAGTGCATAATGGGAACACCAAGGGCGGCCCAGCCCAGCCTTGTCAGGGTGGGAGTAGGGAGGGCTTCCTGGAGGAAGCAAGGTCTGAGCGGAGTCCCATTTGTCTACATGACAGAGACAGGAAGGTATTACAGGCGGAGGGAATGGCAGGTGTAAAGGCCTGGAGGTAGGAAATAACATACCGGAGGCAGGAACATGATAGGCAAGGCAGCAGGGCTCTCTCCTGGTTTGTGAAACTCCCTTCTCCTATACCTCTTGACTTTCACATAACCCTCCCTCCTTTATTTATTTGTTTGTTTTTTGAGACAGGGTCACACTTTGTCTTCCAGGCTGGAGTGCACGATCTTGGTGCGATCTTGGCTCGATCTTGGCTCACTGCATCCTCAACCTCCCAAGTTTAAGCCATTCTCCCACTTCAGCCCCTCAAGTAGCTGGGACTATAGGCGTGAGCCATCATGCCCAGCTAAATTTTTTTAGCCTGTTGCCTAGGCTGGAGTGCAGTGGTGTGACCTCGGCTCACTGAAGTCTCTGCCTCCTGGGTTCAAGCCATTCTCCTGCCTCAGCCTCCTGAGTAGCTGGGATTCAGGCATGTGCCACCATGCCTGGCTAATTTTTGTATTTTTAGTAGAGTCAGGGTTTCGTCACATTGCCCAGACTGGTCTCGAACTCCTGAGCTCAAGTGATCCACCCACTTCAGCCTCCCAAAGTGCTAGGATTATAGGCATGAGCCACCACCATACCTGGTCTCACATACCCCTTTTATTTGTTGGTGCTTTAATATAAAACATACATATAAACACTCACACACACATGCATGTACACACACACACATAGATAGTTTTGTGCTAAGCACCAGGTAGGTGTGAGAGAAACAGAGCCAAATGGGTGCTGTCCCTGCCTCATGGGCACCATTAGTCTAATAGGAGTGACAGAATCAAAAGCCAACCTTTGCAAATGATACAATGCCAAGGGTGAGGTGTGGCCAGAGTTCAGGAGTGCCCAGGCATGAATAGCTAACTCTGGGGCCAGCAAGAGAGGACGCACAGAGGGAGTGACAGTGTCAACTGGGTTTGGAAAGGTGGGCTTTCCAGATGAAGAGATGAGAAAGGC